ATTTGGCTGCTAATAGGCTCCTACCCGCCAGCAAACAATCCAAAGAACCTTTGTCTACATGGAAGATTCCTTCTTTGACTTGCGTTGAATAAACAATGGTTATACGCTAATGGCTTGTAAAACGGTCCATCCATCCTGTCCCATACCCATGACCCCTATACATCGCAGAAGGTTAGGCCTTTCTACCAGCAGACAAGTCCTGGCTGCTGCTCCCCACTGGTTTCTCGCCGTTCCCCTGAGAGATCAGGGACAGCCTGCTGACAGGTCCACACATATGTTTTCTGATTGTTAAATGTAGGGCAACCACCTGGGCATAGAGGAGCCAATGAGCAATTCCCCCTCCTCAAACCCTAACTAACCCCAGACACCTTCAGGCCATGGGGTTCAGTTTCACCTAAGGAGTTGCTATAGGTTCTTGACATTTTGACATTCTCCAAGAAAGAATAGTGTAGTTTCCACTGTCAACATCCTTTATTCTTCACAGTTCTATTTGCCCAAGGGGACTTCAGGAAATCCAAGCTGAAATGGAACTTTCCTGGTGGACCCTTTCCTATAAGCCAAGGGAAACCATCAATGAAAACACACAACCTCCTCCTAGTTTATGTAGCAGCCTAGATTGAATTCCAGATGCCCTGAGAGGCCCTTGGTTACACCTGGTCCAAGCAGCAACATTAGGCCTCCTAAGGCCTCAAGAGCAGTATGACCATTCACTGACACAGCCTCAGGTCACTGGAGGGCAGGGTCCACAGGCAGAATTGCAAAGGTAGGCTGCTGTGGAAAGCACTGGTCACTAGCATGTGAATTCTCCACAAGTGCCTGCAGCACCAGGCCTCCCTACTCTCCTCTTGAGTGCCTGCAGAGCTCTGGTCTGAAATTCTTGCACTGGTTGACCCCTAATGAGTGAAATGCTCTTCCCCAGGTGTCCATATGGCTCACTCTTCAGTCCCCTTCAGGGTTCAGCTCAGCATCCCCTTAAATAGGCCTTCCCTGGGCACCCTATACAACACAGCGATTCCCCGCCCCACACTCCTCCCCCAGCTCCCATTTACTTTTCTCCATAGCACTATCCCTACCTGATATATTACAGATTTTACTCCAGTTTATCCATTAGATTGTAAGTTCCTCTTTTTTGTCTGTTTTGTCCACTGCTCTAAAATATCTAATGCCTAGAACAGCGCCTGGTACACACACTTAACGTATTTGTTGGAAGTTGTTAAAAACAAAGCTGGATGTTAACTAAAAGCAGTAAAGACAGGTGGTATTCAGGATGTACTGCATTAGGGGAAAGAACTAAAGTATAGAACTGAGCTCAACTTCAATCCATGCAGAGGTGAATGGGCATCTTAAAGGAAGAATGAGGGAATAAGGAGGGGACAGGTGGAGCTCAGATTCAAGGAAATGGGGAATTACAAAGGACTGGTTGGGTAGTTGGTCACTGTCAATGTGATTAGGCTCACTGAGTGTGCTAACTGGCATTTGTCAAAATTAGGCTCCTAACCTCCCACAGAGATAGGAGACAGGCCCTCTCATTCCTAACGACAGTATTTCAAAGCAATGGCTGTCAGGTCCCTGAGAAAGACACTCGTGGGTTGTAGGAGACACACATACATGTTAAAAGGGAAGAGAAAGGGTTATAACTCTAAATTATTCTAATAAATGCTTAATAAAAGGAGGGGGGCCTATCATCAGGTATTGGCTGGAACAAAGGGTAAGTTCTTTTGGCAGTCTTGAGATTTTTCCAAACAGGAACTCAAGGGGGCCTGGATCATCCCAGGGACACGGCCTTAGGCTGTTAGAAGTCCTGTTGGAGTTTTTCCAAGTCTCTTATTGTTGGGGGGGAAAGGGCTGTTATGAAAGTTGCCGTTCTTATAGGCCAAGGTTCAGCTCTAGTCAAGAAGAGAGCTCAGAGGAACCTGACTAAAGTGTGATCAAGGAGAGAGTCTCTATGGATGGATGGATGGATGGATGGATGGATGGAGAGGGTATAAAGGTTGGCGGAACAGGGGTCAAGATAATAAGATCTGAAGACATCCAAATTCATATGTAAGTAGAAATCATTTCAGAGAAAAAGGGAAAATCCTCCACTCTTCAACAGCTCCTTCTAAGCATGCCTGTGGTGAACAGAATATGGCTCTCATTTACTCATAAAAGCTGCTGATGGGAACAAACCCATTGTTTATCCTATTCCTGCCCAACCTGTGTTTGTTTTCTGCAGGATAATTTCCAGACCTGAGTTTGCTCACTGTTTAAAATTCTTATTAGAGACAGAGGCTAAGGATGTTACAGAAAGATCTCCTGTGGAGCTAATGCTACCTGTTCCTATTAACTTTTTATTAATGAAGCAGCTTTGGGTAATTTTGTCTTCCTTTCCCCTCGGCAGCCCACCTCTAAGATGTGGAAGAGCTTTAACTCACTTTCCTCCCTTCCCCATTCCTGTCTCAGTTCTTCTCTACCTCCAGCTTTATACTCAGATCAAAAAAGTCCTCCTTCTGTGGAGTTGGTTCTCCAGGTAAATACCTGATCTCTGTATCTCCACACAGCCCTAGGATCAGTGGTGGGCAAACTCATTAGTCAACAGAGCCAAATATCAACAGTACAAAGATTGAAATTTCTTTTGAGAGCCAAATTTTTTAAACTTAAACTATATAGGTAGGTACATTGTTATTAACTTAATTAGCGTACTCCTAAGGCTTAATAGCAATCTGCATTTTCTCCACAGGCCAGCTACAATACTGACTAGAATTATTTTTCTTTTCATAAGACTACAGACATTAAAATAAGAAAAAGCACTTTTATAAGTTAATATTTGAATGTAATTTGAAGGGAGGGTGGATTCAGGGTTCCAGGAGCCTTATGTTTATATAATGGGTGGTGAGTGGAAGAGCTTTTTAAATGAGTAGTACCCTCCTCATTTAAAAAAGAATCCAAAATTACAAACACAAACTTAGGTATGACCATGTGAGCATGTTGCTAGGGGCCTGTTCAGGGGCTTGGAAGTAGCCTGGGTGAGGGGTCCTGAAACTTAAGATTCATTAGCTTTTCAGTCAATTCACGTACACTAGGCAATATAAAAGATTGGAGAGGTTTATACCGCAGCACTAAAATCTGTAGAAACCCGCTACGTATAACAGTCTTATATTATATCAGTCATCTAGATACTATTCTTATCTCTCTTTCACAAACCTCCATCCCTGCTGTTCCCTCTAACTTGACGGCAACACTCATTATGAATTTGTGGGCTGGGCTGGGCTGGGTTTGTTTCCCCTCCCCTATCGAGGCTCTCACAACCTAATACTGTGTCGATTATGTAACAGCCAAAAGAGAGTTTAATGGAATACAAAGCAGAGTCGGAGTTCTTACATAAGCCTCATAAACCATCCATAAGATCTGCTCCCAGACTGGGGTACGTGGAATTACATAAGGTAGTTGGGAAACACTGATGCAACAGCCAGGTTTATTTCCGACCTCAGAAACAATCGAAGCATTCTGCACTTAATTTAGCAGTATACATTAAGATAATAAGTTTTGAATTAGGTGAAAAAAATAATCTTTAATATGACTTAGTTATCTTTTCAATGTTAACATAAAGGAATCTCCTGACACTGCTATTCAACTTCCCTGTAACCTCTGCACAAAGAAATGTCCCCTTAGGATGCCCCCTCCATATTCTACATGAAATTACGGGTCCCTAATAAACATCAACCATTCTTGGTTTTGTTTTGTTTTTATAAAATCAAGAAAGATACTTAGACAAAATACAAAAGTGTACATGCTATAATTCTTCAACACATCTTTCCAATACCAGTTTTCTCTCCCCATATTTCTAACCACTTATTTTTTTACTTTCCTTAAACCACTGTAGCCACACCTGGGACTATGAAGTGACAAATTAAAAAAACAACAACAGTGCAATACAATGGGTCTCTCCCCTGGCTGCACATTAGAATCACCAGCAGAGCTTTTAACATTACAAATGCCACAGCACCACCCAGAACCAATTAGAATGAAATATTGGGGTGGCGCACAAAAAGGGGATGCCTAGACATTAGTATACCTGATGCTTTCTACTTTTCCTTCTTCATACCTGAAAAAATAAGAGGAGAAATTTTTGCGGGGGAGATCTTTAATAACTGGCAGCTCATAATTAGTTTCCATCAGATATAAAATATCATTCTATAGTTTGAAAGCCATAAAGGATATCTGTGGGATCCTTTTTATTACTATCATAATAAAAAAAATTACCAACTTTCTTTAGCCTTTAAAAAAACCTATTTTATTGGTCAATGTTTTTGCAATTCTACCTAATCAGTTCAAAGCAAAGGCCCTATATTATCTTAATGGATGTCTCACGCTAAGACCCTGCTTATCCTCAAGTAAAGTTTTGGGTTAAAGCAGAAATGACGGTTCTCATTTATCGTCAACCTCTCACACCTATAACTTTACCAATGAGCAAATGTGTGTTCAAGCCCTTACATAACAGAGTACAGGCGCCTTTGGTGTCCTGCCAAGAGTACTTCTTGCCGTGTTTGTATTTAAAATAGACTGGTAGTAACATCACTTGTGTGCCTGAAATTCCTTCTGTGCACGGGCTCCGAATGAAAAAAAAAAAATGGATGTAGCAACCCGCTTTGCTGTTTTGCCATTATAAACCTCAAAGGAAATAACACATTCTGACTAAATTAAGGCGAAGACACAGAACAAATTATCCAAAGCTGGGGGTAGGTGTTGACTCGGTTAACTAACCTACCATCCTTTCCAAGACGGAGTATGTTTAACCTGGCAGCATGCGAGGTGCCTACTGAGCTGCAAACCTGGGCCCTGGCCGGCGGGGATGTGACAGGCCAGCGTGAGCATCACGGTGACAGAAAAGGCAGATCAACGCCCGCTGCCAGGCTGGGCTGCAATCCCGCCCCAACTCGGGCACCTGTCTTCCCGCAGGTCTAGGAGGCAGGACCAGAGCCCAGCCCGCTCTGCCCGACTGTGCGGAGGGATGCGCTCACCTGGGTGGGGCAAAGCCACGGAAAATGCCCAAGAAGCCACCACTGCCTCCATGAGAGTCTCACCCCGGACCGGCTCCGACACGCTCCCTCCTCATCCAGCTCGTTATCTATTTAACCACAGGTCTGGGCTCCGCTGGCCGGCCGAGGACGTCCGCAAAAGGGGGCGACAAAGTTGCCAAGAGAAGCCGGCAGAAGTGGCGCAGGTGGAGGCGCAAGAGACGCCCCCGCACCTGGGACCGG